TAATTCGGTACGCAAGAAGACACACGCTAGGAGAGAGTCGATAATGGGTGAGTTCGTGATCATTTATCTGGACAGCCTACTGCAGGAAATATATATTTCAAAGCAGTTAATGCACTGTTTTTGTTGAGTAGATATAAATATGTAATTGAAGCTATGCCGTATTTATATCAGTGACTCTTGATTTGCTTAAGGGTGATTTTTCAGTTTCCTATGATGCGTACGAAGCATCACATTTTGTTATGATTTATGAATTGGATATATTTAGAAGGAGGTGGTCGTAACGTGTTCGGTATATGCCTGAAAGGACTTCAGCAAGAAACCGAAAACGTCAGTCGGGGTAGAGTCCTCTTTGCCGAGATTTGAACCCGCTAGTTCCAGAATACGAAGTAGGGATGCCAACAATTTGACTATGACGTTAGGTATATTTGGTAATTTTCAGTCCGAGAAACAGCACTGCTATTGATGATGGTTGACTTCTGGGTTGTTACAGCGCGTATTCTGGTAGACATTTACAATCTTCATTTTCACTGCCGTGTGGACTACAGCAAATCAAATACATTTACTGTCGACTAGTAATTCGATAGGTTATGTTTAGTACAGTGTGTCAAACTGTATCGTTCCTCTTTGTTGTCTGTCGGCTTAATGAACTGCCAGTACCTGAGAAACGGCAGCAGGAGATATGACGATGGAATAAAATATTTAGGATACAGAATAAAAGTGGAATACCAGCAGATATTTATGACAAACTTGCTGGTGAACACAATTCGGAATGTGAAGTGTTTTCTGGTGAAGGCAACAACCAAGATCAAAGACACCGTCGTACTTGAGTATTTTACAGATCACGTCCTCGACATAGGTATCTGCAGGCCAGAGAGCGACCTATTTCGCTCTTAGAATTTCACCAGTACTTTGATTCAATCTTTGGATAAGCCGAACATACATTATCAAGATTAAGCCGAATACTCAGTAATATCTTGACCGTCTCACCAGAAAGTGAAAGAAAGAATTGAGTAGATCAACTCATCTCTCTGGCCATGAAGTTTGGCCAGTAAATACCTCAGGATAAAACTGTCGGGAGATCTCAGCGCCACGTACACAAGGTCTGTAACAATACGTAAGCTCGTCGGTATCGCACGCTGTCCTTGCTTTTCGGTAATGGAACCAGATAAATGCCCCGTCTTAGTGTGTGCAGTGATGCGTCCCATAACATTTAGCTTCGTGCGGCTGCCAAGTCTCTTAATGGACACTTAAATCTGAGTACGTTTTCAAGCAACGAACGTGTGGTTCTCTAATATATACCTCTGTAAAGAGCATCTCCATAACTAATAAAGACGCCGCTTTCACGTTCAAATTTAGGTTGTCCGTTTTACCCTACTTTCCTTATCTTAAAGGAAATTAGACTTTCGGTAATCATGAATTCTGCGCGCCCCTGAGTCTCTGCCCTCTCAATCAGGATAATTATGGAGATATTAAGTTCCTCTGAAATTTCGGTCATTATTTACCAAATAAAATGATGGCACATCCCAGAAGATAGCTGTCTTCATACTTCGGATACCACCCGGGTGCCGTCATAAAATCAGATATGCAGTTGCTTCCCTAGACGTCATAAAAATTTAATCATTTTGTGGGCCATGAGCAAAAATTCAGGCATTTGTTGTTCGTAAAAAACGTGGATTTCGCCCAGCACGGAACATACGAGAAGCAGATACTCTACTCTTTCTTGGGAGCGTAACTTGTCTCTACACGAGTGTCTATAGGCTATTTTGTTGACCAGCTATTAGACTTGAGCGTCATTTACCGAAAACTACGAAAGTGGTGGTGATGATGATCATGATAATATTATAATGCTGTAGTAACAATAATAATGCTCGCTCGGTTCGCTACAATGTCGGTAGAGTAGCTGACTTCACATACCGGCAACGGTCACTCCGGGTCTGTAACACAATCCCGATTCGTCTGTAGTTCAGACGCACGTTGAGAGAACGTTTTGGAACTGGACGTAGGAAAATTCCGGATTTGCGGGGCCTTTTGAAGTCCACAATTACTACAGTGTCTTTGGACCGGAAATAATAGTTGCTACTCAAGATGGAGGACTTAATCTTTCTTTTTGCATTGTTAGTAAACAGCTGTTCTGAGAGTGCCCCAATAACCACTAGTGACTTAAGTTCATTCCTCGGAAATATACGTGTATAATCATTGACGCCACTCTACAGTGGAGTAGCAAAAAGTTTATAATGATTGGTTGGTAACAATTGGTTAGCTTAGAAACGCTTGGTCCACGACAGGTTTTTACATGAATGAAGACAAGTGTCAATTGTCAGAAAAGAATTCGGTTTTGTTTATGGACTTATTTCCGCTTGTTTAAAATAAAACAGGAAGTCAGGCTGTAACGCGTTTTTACGTTATCATCTAATAAGCCCGCAATTTAGCTACTAGGACGTTGTGCACAGTTTTATTGTTATTTATTAACATAATTTTTATTAGAGTGGTTCATAAATTAATAAAGTGATTTAAGATAGCGTTATTTGCTTTCATTCATCTGATATTTCCTTTAATTTAAAAAAAATCCTGTTCTTATTGCTGACAGTAATAGAATGCAAATAAGAAAACTGCGGTTTTAAAAATTGTAAGAATTTCTGTGTCTTTGAATTGCATTTCTCTCTCCCCTTTCTGAATTACTTGAAAGATTAGATTATTTATCCGATGTAGGTCATGGAAACAAATTGCTAAAACTGTCCAAAGAGATGTTGTTAACTTCTTCACGAGATGATTTTTTTTTTCAACAATCAAGTGTTCCTTATTTTGTTCATAATATTGCAATAGCGTGATTAGTGTCAATAATAAACGTCCATCCAATTACTCGTACCTCACGGAAACTAGAATCTGCCATGTTCTTAAGAGCATTAGTTTCTAAGTAAATTACATTAGATAAAACTTGAAATATGGGCCACATTTTTGTGCTGTATTATTATAGTTTAGAACAAAGTTCTAACGGTATACAATTCTAGTACAAAACAATTGAACACGATTTTCATTGTTCCTTATATGGTAATGCTATTATTTGTTGTTATTATTTTTTGGCTTTACAGCATAAGACAGGGCTACCATTTAGACATAATAATGCCTTAAAAGAAATTAATTTCCTGTGGAGCCACTGCATTGTTGGTTCAGTTTGTTCTCTTTGGACCACGCCCTCAGGGGATTTTACAACGTACAGATAGCCAACACGATGCAAAACATCATTTTCCTCCAACAAGAAATAGGCGATAATTTTCGTTCCGCAGAATCCGAGTTTCTCACGGCGGTGATGACTAAAGTCTCTGTCTTTTGGGTTGTTGTAGCGCCGTGTAGTCTGTAGACGCTGGTAAACAGACAGCCATCTTCGTTTCGTTTATTAGCAAATTTGTATATGTCACAATAATACAAAGCATTATTGTATTAAACATAGAATGAGATCGTGGCCTATTTAAAAAAATACATTTCCCATTATTTACATGAAATGGCCGAGTTAATGCACAGAAAAGCAAATTTATTGCAGCTGATCTCAGTCCCTAAATTCGAAATTTTATCATCTCTGACAAGAGGTAAGAATTCTTTATTTACCTCAGACGCTCCACTCGATGTAGCTACGTATTTACAAAAAGTACACCTACCAAATTTCGTAATAGTTCCGACACTTTGGCTCAGTTAATCGTTGATAGAAATCGATTCTAAAAGTTCCTGAGGCTGTCTCTGCATTGATGTATCGACGTTGCAAGGTGTCAACCACGTTTCGGCCGCAAGTCACTTTTCATCATCATCACGATGACTCCCCACCGCCAATTAGCCAGAGACGAAGCATTTAGCACAACTTTCTCTCTGTCAAAACACACACAAACAGGTTGGACGCCAAAGAATACCTCATAGATGTTGCACCGCGTACTTCTTGTCAGCCACGTCTAGTCAGTGTTTCTCAGTCTTTGTTCGTCCAATGAAATCTCAGCAGAACAAAATACATGAACGTTCATACAGCACAGTCCACGTACTTTTATGAAACACTGTTTTAAGTGCTCAAGGAGTTATGGAGAGAAGCACATGCTGAGTTTTGGTCTGAAAATTTGAAAGGTAGAGACTTTGACATAGATTGAAAGATAATGTTTAATAAGACCATAAACAAATATGGCGTCAGTTATCTGCCTCCACACAGGGTCCATTCGCGTGATGTGAGCGAAGCTATGAGCCTTCGTGTTTGCTGAAAGGTGGACAAATTTGTAATCATCTTCGTAGAGTAAGGATTTCGATAATTTCGAAGGTTATTTCTAATGGTGTTATATGGCACACTGAAAATCGAAGTAACTAATATCATCATTGGAATTAACTTTAAACATGGAAGAGTAGTAACAGTTCTGAATGCTTACTACGAGCTTCTGTGTGATTTTCATAATCAAAAAGTGAATTACAAAGCATTTTTATAATTTTATAAATATATTAAATTTGGTAGTTTAAGTAAATTAAGTCACAACAATATTACCTTGTGAAGGCATAACCCTCAATTGGGAGTTCAACGTATTTTTCAAAATAATAGAATAGCACACGTTAACAGAATTCGATTTTAAGTGTGAAATAATTGTATTTTAACATAAATGAAAGACAGTTTCGAACACATGCGTGGTGAAATTCCGAAAATCTTAAAAAGGGGAGTCAAGAAAATCTACTCGATTTTCTTTAAAATTTCTGACGCTCGGGCGACATATTGCGTCATTGCCTTTTTACTGTATCCATCGTATAGGTGTTGTTACTAAAATCACAACATTTCGGAAGTAGTTTCTGCTTTCATCTTCAGGGCAAACGAGGACAAAAGCCTGGTCTATGGTGTGATTCTATACCACCTAGACGATGGCTAACGCCAAAACAAACTCAAGAAATTACACCTTAATCACAAAGTATACAATTATCAAATCTTATTTGAATTTGTGATTTTGATTAACAGATGTCTGATATAATTTTTTTTCTACTTTCAGATACGAGCGAATGACAGACAGATTTCCAAATAGACGTAAGTCCTTTTTTATGGAATATTTATACAACTACTATGTTGTATCTGAGGGCTGGAAAATTTGAATGTTTATATGAGAGTCTGACTTCCAGTCTTGCATTGCTTTTCATTACAGTTTATCGTAATATTAGTAATGTAGTAATATTCTGCAATAATGCATTCAGCACATGTAATGGCGTTGGACTGAAATACGAGTAAGTGTGATTTAACGTCATATTGTCCCAACTAAGGTGACGTAGATATTTTTCATACCTACGTGCCTGATAACAGCATGTTCATATCGATATATCACTCAAGCAATGTGATTGGTTCTCAGAAAGAGGTTTCTTTACATCATCCACTAAATCGACTGATTTGTGTAACAGAAATTCGATTGGCTTTTTAGAGGTGAGAATCAAAATATTTAAATAATATGAGTAAAGATTAACTTCGAGTTTCAGATAATTAATATAAATGTAAAATATCGATTAATTTTGTAAGTAGCTACTTTTATATGAACATATAAACAGTAAGTAAGTGTATATTACTTTTAATTCCAGTTTTGTAAAATAATTTAATTTAAATGTAGTTGACGGTATACATTCGAAACCTGTTAAACATTTAATGAAAGGGTATGTTAAAAAAACAAATGCAGGAAGATCTTAGTCGGCAACTGCTGCATCTCATCTAAATTATGTACAAATATTCAGTTAGTATTTCTAGGATTACTCGTTTTGTAAAATTTAATGTTATTGAGTCTGCAAGTTTGTAGTGCACAAAAATTACCTCTTCTCATTAAATATCTAATATATACTGGACTGTAAATTTCGAAACTTAGTAGTTGTTTTAGTTCAGTGCCTAGTACGCAGCATCCATAATTCTATAAGATAGTGAACACATGGATTAATTTATTTAGAATTCACATAAAACATCGTAGTTTTGTTGTATACACACGTTGTTAGTTGATTTGGGCTTAAACGCCTCCTGGAACGTTTTAATTAAATGAATCGCCCTGATGACAGAGGCAGT